AAAAAAAAAAAAAAAAAAAAGAGTAAAAGATATGGCCTCAGAAATCACACAATGTATTTCCTCAATATCCTGGTAGTCAGCACTGTAAAATGCAGAAGACTATACTGGGCATAAATACCAGGATGCCAGGGATCACTGGGGCCATCTGGAGGCTGGCTACCACACACATAAAACAGTATTTTGTAGCACTTTTAAAAAATATATTTGTATTAAAATATAAAAACACACACTAGAAAATATGTAACCTCTAGTGGTTACTTCTGGGGACTCTCAAAGAGTCCTCAAAGAGAGAGGAAGGGGACAGGATCAATGACGCAACAAACTTAAATTGTATCTAACATTTGCAATTACATACACACATATGTGTGTGTGTGTGTGTCCATCTGCCTGAAGAAAATATAGCCAAATGCTAACATTTACTACATCTGCGTGGTAGAAATACATGAATTTTCTTGAAATCATTTACCTTTCCTATATCTTTGAAATATGTAAAAAAAAAAAAAAAAAGTTTTGAGGTAATGAATCCAAAGAAATGGAAATAAAATGTGTTTTTAATAAGAATTAATTTTTACACATTTTAAAAATTGCAATTTTCAGGATATGTAAGAATATTTTTCTAATACTGAAATAAGCATACTTTGGTACAGAAATCACACCCTATGTGTGATCTTTAAAAAAACTAATCAAGAACCATGACCTAATATGTTAAACAAAACTATTCTTTGCCCATCCATCTGTCCCCTCTCATAGCCCCATTGTGGGGCGTTAGAATATAGTTCTGTACATATCTACAAAGAATTAAGATGTCGTATCAAAGATGTCCAGAAGTTACATATGGTAGAGAATTAGTGGCTTCATCCTTGACACACCACACAAAATATCAAAAGCAACATAAGATACAGGATGCAAAATAGAACACTAAGGTCAAATAATACAAAAACAATCACATCATTTAAATTTGATGCATTGCAAACAAGGTAACTTCTTTAGAATTATTATGTACACAACTTGCAAAGCTCAGAAAGCAATAGCACAGAGCCATAAATCTGGTAAGGCACTTTATTTTGAGATGGAGTCTCACTCTGTGGCCCAGGCTGGAGTACAGCGATGCTATCTCAGCTCACTGCAACCTCTGCCTCCCAGGTTCAAGCAATTCTTCTGCCTTAGCCTCCCAAGTAACTGGGACTACAGGCATGCGCCACCACGCCTGGCTAATTTTTGTATTTTTAATAGAGACAGGGTTTCACCATATTGGCCAGGCTGGTCTTGAACTCCTGACCTCGTGATCCACCAGCCTCAGCCTCCCAAAGTGCTGGGATTACAGGCGTGAGCCACTGCGCCCCGCCATTCTTGTATACTAACAATGCTTTATACCTTAAGACTCTTTAAAGATAGCAATCAAACATATACAAGTATCAGAACAAAAACTGTTAAACTGGAAAAGCAGTAACCACAGAAATAGAGAAAAAATATGCATTCTTTCTAGACAGTCTTTCCTTTTCTGAAGTAAAGTCTTTTAAAAAAAAAATCAAAGAAGTACAAAAAATACTTGTCATACATTTTTAAAACCTATCATCAAAGTCCAAATCTCTGTAAAAAAGAATGTTTATCTTCAAGTCAATAAAGGTCAGATTCATACATTTTCTAGAGAAACAATTACAGTCTTCATGCTAAATATGGGAAGAAAAAAGCTTTTAATTACGTTTGTTAACTCTTCTATTCAACAAATATTTAGTGAGTGTTGTGTGACCCTGTTTTAGGTGCTGTGGATATAAAGACACAATCATTAGTTGCAGACAACTTAGCCTAATAGAGCTGGATCTACCATTGGAAACCTTAAAGTTACCTCCCTTGGTCTTTAAGATGAAACGCAACTTCAAACTCTGCCATGCTTAGCATCTTGTTGCAAAACAAATAAATAACGGTCTATAGAGTTTGCTACTGGTAGCACTATGGCACTATTAATATTAGCCATCTACTGATTGTCTTTCGTAAAGGATTCTATGAAAGTTCAGAGGCATAAAGTACTTAAGGATAAACAAGGACTGGTCAGCCTCAAAGATAGCATTGGCATTCCACTTTCACAAAAGCCAAGAAAACCAAGAAAAGGAAGATAACTCAACAAATTGGTTAGCATGGATGATCAACAAATGTCTATGGATACGACCAGCAGGAAACTCTCATCACAATTGAGTGGAAGATTCAGGCAGTTTCCCTCTAATTCCACGGATCCTGAAGCAGGAATTGGAAGATTGGAGGACACTGAAAGGAATGCAAAATCTATGTTCGACCCAGCATTCCGAGCCACCTTCCATCCAGCTACCTCAAACCTTTTGTTTTTGTGCTGTCTTACTGATGGACTGCATGAGGGCCTCATAGATGCGGGTGTGAGTGAAAGAAGCTTGCTCACTGTTGAAGGCAAACAAACATCCACAGTCACTCTTTAAAAGGACTGTCACTGACCAGGACCAGATGACTAAAACTGAAATGGCATCCATGCTTCAACACTGCTGCTGCCTACTCCTCGGAGTTGTGATTGGGTCAAGTGATCTGGTCTAATCCTATTCAGGTCTAAAAACGATTCCGGGCCATGATGGTTGCACCAGGCAGGGCAGCAGATGATGAAAGTGCAAACCTGTAGGTTGCACACAATGCTGGGCCTGCGATAGACTGGATCAACAGTCAACCTTAGGTTGGTGAATTTGTATTTGCTCATCTGTTCAAGGAACGGAGCTCTTGGATCAGGTCAAGCTTGTTGCTACCAGAGCCCAGATGACAACAGTTTTTACTATCCAGACCTTTCTAGAACCATGTATGGATGGGACACCAGCACTCCCCTCAGTCTTCACAGACATAGTGGAGTTTGATAAGAGACTCACCAATGCAAAGAACAAGATGGGGAGTCTGTCTGGACTAGCTGGGGCATTCCGCCATCCTATTACGCTAGAGCTCGCTCCTGGGACGTTTCCCAACCTGGCCACAGCAGCCAATTATTGGATCAAAAGAACCAATGCAACATTCACAGGCTTCAAAGACCCCAACATAATACCGGGAGCAAGTCTCTCACTGCCACTGCTACAAATGGTGGCACAGAGACCTGTCAAGAGGGGAGACACAGGTGGGCCAATGGACAGAACACTTGTTATCTTGTTATGGAATCACCAGTTACGATTGAACATCTATTCAAAAACCAAGAAAAATTTCATTCTGAGTACATACAGAACTTCTGGACAGAGGTCATCCTATACGTGTGGTAAATGTACAAATATGACATATGAAGATGTATGAAGTAATGCAGTCATTATTAAACAACGAAGTATGTCAAATTAGTCATCAGGTTTCAAAGAATCATAGCCTTCTTTCAAGAGGTCCCGCCATGTTTTAAGGAAACGTGCATTTTCTGTACATTTGAAGGCAAGCTCTTCCACTTGAGCTGATACTGCAGATGTGGCTTCAAGGAGTTTGGTTAATGAAAAGGCTGCCTAAAATTTAAAAAAAAAAAAAAAAAGTCAAACAAGTTTATTTTTAAAATTCTCATCTCATTTTACAAGCAGTCTAAAAATAGCTTAAGGCGTTGAAACCAGCGTCCCTGTTTTCTTTAAAAGTAATCTATTCTCAAACTAAATTATTGGCTTTTTAGTATTTCTTAGGTTCCCTGAAAGAGCCAATGCTTTAGTTTGAAAATTGAGTAGGCTTTGATGAAACAGGTCTGCTAGAAAAATATTCACTATGTATGAGACATGACAAGTCAGTATCTATGAAAATACACTAGAGTCTCAGGTCAACAAGATGACTTGGACCCCTTAATACTACGTGCCAGAAGTATCTGAAGGAATTCATCATAAATAATTCTTACTTCTATGTGGGTAACATGGGCATTGACCTGTGAACACTTTAAACAATGAAAATGTATAGATCAAAGAACAGAAACTCTGAGCTCTGACAAACATCAACGAAATCACACACGAATGCAGAAAACACTCAGCTCCTGGTGGAAATTTCACTTTTTAGGCAAATATTTTCCTCACCGATGATATAAAATAAAACATTGTTCCTAAATAACACGTTAGCACTTCATTCTACATATTTCTTTGTAGAATATTCAAAGAATATGTAAGAAAATTCTACATATTTACTTACAATCAGTTTGTTCTGCAAAAATAAAGGCTGGATACACAATTTAGTCATCCTTAAAAAAATATCTGCGGAGCAATGAGATAATCGAGGTCATCCCCTGGTTTCTAATCCTTACGAAAGGACATGCCACAGAGCTCTCCCAGAAGGTTACCTCATTCCATTTGACCCACTCGAGAGACCATCAAACTGTGACCTCCTCCCTTCTCCCCCTCCCTATCTTGTGTGAGTTAGGGGTGGGAGGTGGGCTGCTAGTTTCTGGGGATTCGAATTTTAACAGAAACTATCCTTACTAAGTATGCATTCTAGCAATCATAGGAAGGGAGGAGTGCCGAACTAAACCCTTAATGAAGCCAATCCACGTGACCTAAACCCTTCAAGCTGGGTCCACCGCTAAGCAGGCTTGAGGCAGACAATGGCATTATCATCTGTCCCTGGGCAGGTGGCCAAGTAGAACAGCGAGCTCTAAGTCCCATGGAAAGAAATCACAGTCTTATCCTAAACACTCGCAGACAGCAAGCAAACCCATGCAGTGAAAACTATTCTCCGATGGGAGAGGAGGAGGCAAAGAGCCAGCACCGGGCGGGGCAGAGCTGCAGGGCTTCGGGTTACTGCGGATGATTGAAACCAGAAGGCGAGACAAAAAGAAACCAGTCAGGGGTGGGGCGGGTGGAGGGATAACCCCAAGACTCCTCACCGCTAAATCTAAATGGGGAACCCTCAGAGAGGGGTGGCACTTTAGCTGCTGGCGTCTCCCACTCCCCACTTCCCGCCCGCACGCTCTCGGGCGCAGAAGGGCGGGTCGTCCCCGGTCGTGGGGGTTGGGGGACCGACGCCCTGGCCTCGCGGGCCCCGCCGCAGCCAGTCTTCCCAGAGGCGCCGACGAGGGACGCAGTCCCGACTACACACTCACGTCTCCGATCTGCAGCTCCACTTCCTCCAGCGGGTCAACCTTTCGGCCGCTGCTCCTGCTCGGAACTGGCCAGCTCAAACTCACTGGCCCGCCCGGGGAAGATGCTGCAGAGGCGTCTGAAGAGGAGGGAGAAGAAGGAGGCGGCGGGGGCGGCGAAGAAACCTGCAGCTCCTCAGGGTCGGCCATGGGGCAGGGCTGGGACCGCGGAATCCAACTCGAGCAGCCGAACCGACACCAACTGTCTTTTAACCACTCGCGCCCAAAGCCAAGGGGCCCCGCCTCCTAGCGCCCGAAATCCCGCCCCGTCTCCTCACGGGTCTCAGCCCTGGACCACAAAGACTGTTCATTTTTCCGGACAGCCAATCAGATGACATCTATTCACCTTAGGCAGCTCCTGCGCGAGCCTCTAGTCGAGCTGGAAGGGCGCGAGTGCAGAAGACTACCCCTCCCAAGAAGCTGTGCGCGTCGCCCCCACCTCTGCCACTGTTTTTCACTGCGCGTGCGTTGTTCTATGGGATTCGTGAACCCCTCTAGCCGCGCTCTGGCTCTCACCGCGTCCCGGCTGGGACTTGGAGTCCCTAATTTCCCGGGTTTGGTACATGACCCGGAAGCCTCGGCTGGCCGCCGCGTCATGCATGGCGCCGGCGCAGAGTGAGAAGGAGGCGGGAACGCCGCGAAGCAAGAGCGGTCGGCAGAGCTGGGGAGGCGAACCGCGGTCGAGTTCTTGCTTCCCGGCAGGTGATGGCGCCCCCCGCGGCCTAGAGGTCCAGCGCCCGCCGCGAGCAGCGGAGAGTCTTCGTGTCCTGTCTGACCGAGAATCCTGGTGACTTTGAACATGCTGGTGCCGCTAGCCAAGCTGTCGTGCCCGGGTGAGAGGGAACGTAGGGTGGGAGTAAGTGGAGGAAAGTGGAGGAATTAGGGCAAAAGAGACAAGGCCGGTCCTAGGGGCTGTAGGCACCTCTCACCTCTCCCCTCTTCTCTCATCTGCTTTCTGAGGCTATCTAGGGCAAAGGTCACTCTCTGTAAGCCTGGTGGTGGACCCTAGCTTTCTCTCTCTGGGGTTGCCTCAGTTGGAAAAAATAATATCTAGGCTAAAGGTCAAGGGCGGAGAAAACTTGTCAACACACCCCACCCACCACCACCCGTCAGCAAACGCACATCTCGGTGGACTCCTGAACTGAGACTTCCCAAATCATGGTTCTAATCCTCAGAGCTTTGTTTTAAATGGAAAAAAAAAGTTGTATTTGCCCAGTTTTTTTCCTTGGTCTTCGCAGCCATCCTGGTTCAGTCTAAAGAAATTGAAGTCTTATCTGTCACATCATAGTTAACATTCATATGTTAACCAAGTAACCTGAGTGTCTCTGGAGCCAGGAGTTTTCTGCCTTGTCTAAAATTAGCTGTAAAGGCCAGTCTTAGTGGCTTATGCCTGTAATCCCAGCGCTTTGGGAGATCGAGGCGGGTGGATCACCTGAGGTCCAGAGTTCAAGGCCAGCCTGACCGACATAGTGAAACCTCATCTCTGCTAAAAATACAAAAATTAGCTGAGCGTGATGCCGCATGCTTGTAATCCCAGCTACTCAGGAGGCTTAGGCAGGAGAATCGCTTGAACCCGGGAGGTAGAGGTTGCAGTGAGCTGAGATCGCACCACTGCACTCCAGCCTGGGTGACAGAGCCAGACTCCGTCTCAAAAAATGTAAAATAAAATTAAGGGTTTTATCGTGTTACGGGTATTCTTTGAACCATCATGACAGATGAAGTTAGATGGTCTTTTTAAAGTTTTACTTAAATTTTTGTTGTTGTTAATTCAAACAAAAGTTCACTAAAGGATCTCGTATTCTGTCATAACTGGCTTAATTTTCTTAATCTTAAGTTCTGGTGGTTCATTAAGTATAAATATTACAAATTCAAAGATGTTCTTATGAAATTTCATGAAAGTAGAATTTTGTTAAATTTGGCTTCCATATGTTAAATTAGAACTTTGTTTAAATTTCATGTCATGTCACCCATGCATTTGTTGTTGCACTTAGTGTATGGATAAGATAGATGGTGTTTGAAGTTGTCAATGCTGTCTGCCTTACAGAATGATTTAGATGCCATCAGCCTTGGGCCCAGTTGCTAACCACTACAATTTCTGTTTTCTTTGGATGGCAATTCATTGCCATTTTCATAGCCTGAAAGAGGTAGACACAAATGTGCCATCGGTGTGAGTTTGATATGGTGATACTATGAGCTCAAAGGACTTTATGACCAAGGAGACTGAATATTCAAATCTCTAAAGTGAGATACCAGATTTGTTTTCAGAAAAGGGGTAAAGGTTGTGACTTTTTTTTTTCCAATCCTTTGGAGAAAGACTACACAGTTCCAAATATTCTCAAGAGAATCAGTAACTATACAAGCAGTAGAATTACAGTTTGTCATATGCCAGTCATCAGTTTTCAGAAGTAAATAACTTCTATACACTAAATTACAATGCATTGAAAACTAAATATTTTAAATATTGATTATAGTGTGTTTGAACTCTTGCACTGAGTCCTAGAGTATCTTTATGTATTTAATATACCTTTTTTTGTTGTTTTTTTCAAAACATAGGTGAATAGTTATCTGAGGCTTAAAAAGTGTTCCCAGTATTACAGTTTTTTTGTTTTTTGGGTTTTTTGAGACAGCCTTGCCCTGTCGCCCAGGCTGGAGTGCAGTGGTGTAATCTTGGCTCACTGCAACCTCTGCCTACTGGGTTCAAGTGATTGTCATGCCTCAGCCTCCCTAGTGGCTGGGATCACAGTGCCCACCATCATGCCCAGCTAATTTTTGAATTTTTAGTAGAGATGGAGATTCCCCATGTTGGCCAGGCTGGTCTCAAATTCCTGGCCTCAAGTGATCTTCCTACCTCAGCCTCCCAAAGTGCTGGAATTACAGGTATGAGCCACCATGCCCGGCCCCAGTGCTATAGTTCTTAGTTTGCATAATCAAATTCATTTGCCACTTTTAAAAAAAATTATCAAATACAGATTTTTAGTGTCTAAGAGACTTGCCTTTTCACAGAAAATGACTCTAAAGAGCATTAATCTTTTGTAGTACCATGTGCCAATCATAAATGAATACTCTAGTGAAGGAAAGTATAAAAATGACTATCTAATATTTAGTTAACAAATATCTATACCTAACATTAGGTTTTCACATACAACAAGATAATTGCTTTTGGAGCATGCTACCTGATGGAGAATACAGACAACTAAAGACATTTATATTTTTTGGTCACATAAATGGTTTGAATTTTTAGTCCAGTGATATTATAACTTTTTAGATTTTTATTATTCTTAGAAAATAACTTTCAAAATCCTAGATTCTAAAAAAAAAAAAAATCTGTTCTTTTCATAATATTTTTGTATGTGGCTATGTTATTTTTTTATAAGTTTTATAATCTTTAATAAGATATGTCACAAACCATACAATTTATACTATTTAAAATGTACAATTCAATGGTTTTTAGTATAGTCAGAGTTCTGTAACCATCACTGCAGTCTATTTTAGAAAATTTTCGTCACTCCAAAAAGAAACTCTGTATTCACTCCCAAGCCCCTTCCAACATTAGACAACAGTCTACTTTCTGTCTCTATAGATTAGCCTATCCTGAATATTTCGTATACATGGAAGCATATAATATGTTGTCTTTTTGTGTCTGGTTTCTTTTACCTGGCATATTTTCAAAGTTCTTCCCTGTGGTAGCATGTATCAGTATTCAATTTCTTATTGCTAAATATTTCATTATTTGTATATTTCACTTCTTACCATTTATTGGTCAACACTTGGGTTGTTTCTACTTTTTGGCTGTTATAAATAATTCATCTATTGGCCAGGTGCGGTGGCTCACACCTGTAATCCCAGCACTTTGGGAGGCTGAGATGGACAGACTACTCAAGCCCAGGATTTCAGGACCAGCCTACACAACCCAGTGAGGCTGCTTGACTACAAAAAAATAGAAATGATTAGCCAGATATGATGGCATTCCCCTGTAGCCCTAGCTACTTAGGAGGCTGAGGTGGGGGGATCACTTAAGCCTGGAAAGTCAAGGCTTCAGTGAGCCATGATCACATCACTACATTCCACTCTTGGTGACAGAGTGAGACCTTGTCTCAAAAAAAAAAAAAAAAAAAACAATTCAGCTAGGACCATTCATGTGCAAGTTTTTGTGTGGAAATATGTTTTCATTATCTTAGGGATAGACTTAGGAATGGGTCGTATGAAAACAATGGGTTGTACCTTTTGAGGAACTGCCAGACTGTTTTGCAAAGAGACTGCATCATTTTTATTTCCCACGCAGGAGTGTATGAGGGTTCCAGTTTTCCACATCCTTGCAAACTCTTGTTATTGTAACCGCCCAATGTGTTCTCCTTTCCTGCTACCCCGACAGAGCCAATTTATCAAAATAGGAGAATTATAATAGAGAAAGACTTTAATTCACACAGAGCAGGCTGTACAGGAGACCGGAGTTTTATTACTCAAATCAGCCTCCCCGAAAACTTGGAGATTGGGCTTTTTAAGGATATTTTGGTGAGTGGGTGGTGTTAGAAAGTGGGGAGTGCTGATTTTCAGGTCAGATTTGAAATCATAGGGAGGTGAGTTTGTCCTCTTGCACTATTTCGTCAATCTGGGTGGTGCCAGTTGATCCATCAAGTGCAGGATCTGCAAAATGTCCCAAGTACTGATCTTAGCTTTTATAATAATTATGTTATCCCAAGGAGCAATTTGGGGAGGTTCGGAATCTTGCCGCCTCCAGCTGCATGACTCTTAAATCATAATTTCTAATCTTGTAGCTAATTTATTAGTCCTGCAAAGACAGCCTGGTCCCCAGGAAGGAAGGGGGTTTGCTCTGGAAAAGGGCTGTTACTGTCTTTATTTCAAAATTAAACTATAAACTAAATTCCTCCCAAAGTTAGTTCAGCCAACTTCCAGGAACGAACAAGGACTTATTGGAGGTTAAAAGCAAGATGGATTTGGTTAGGTCAGCTCTCTTTCACTGTAATAATTTTCTTAGTTAGAGGTTTTGCAAAGGTGGTTTTATTGTCTTCTTGACTATAGCCATGCTAGTGGATGTGGTTTTGGTTTGCATTTCCCTGATGGCTAATGATGCTGAGCATCTTTTCATATACTTACCGGCCATTTGTATATCTTCTTTGAACTAGTATCCGTTCAGATGCTTTGCCACTTTTTAATTGGGTTATTTGTCTTTTTATTACTAGATATAAGAGTTCTTTATATATTCTAAACATAAGTACTTTATCAGAAACACGATTTGAAAATATTTTCTCCCATTCCATGGGCTGTCTTTTCACTTTCTTGATGGTATCCTTTGATGCACAAAAGGTTTTAATTTTGATGAAGTGCAGTTTAACTGTATTTTTTTGTTGTTGCTTATGTTTTTGGTTGCCCTATTAGAGAAACCATTGCCTAACCCAATTGTTGATGAAAAAGCCAAACTCCATAAACTATTTAAAGAAATTAATTCTGAGCTAAA